GTTATACACCATGACATGAACGAAAAAAAGTGTAGACCACAGTGAGTTTTCAGTCTTTTTATAGGTGTATGATGTATGATTTTATTACAACTTTTTCAATAGATCGATACAGTTAACAATAGTAAGTTTTTTTTATTGAAGACACATCCCCACTTTGTTTTATCCAGAGAACTGAATCACTAACACAGTCCACTCAAACGGACAGACACGAGCAGTATGTACGTACATATGCTAACGATGTTTGTTGTTCTCCAGGTTCTGGCCAAAAAGATGACTGTTTTGTATAAATTAGCGTCAGGTCAGTTATCTAAACAGTCTCATTATGACTTTGGTCTCCGTGCTTTAAAAGCTGTACTTGTAATGGCCGGTGAACTGAAGAGAGGGTCACCTGAACTAAGCGAGGTAAATTGTCTTTTCTTTTTGATCTTGTTGTATATGTCGTTACATTAGCACTCATTTTGCTGAAGAACTGATCCTTTTTTATTATTTAATATCGGTAATTGACGGTATTATGTGTTTATTTCTCAGGATGTTGTTCTTATGCGTGCTTTACGTGATATGAATCTACCAAAGTTTGTCTTTGAAGACGTCCCACTTTTCCTGGGTCTCATTGCCGACTTGTTCCCAGGCCTCGACTGTCCTCGAGTTCGCTATCCTAACTTCAATGACGCAGTAGAAGCTGTTCTCGAGGAAAACCGCTATGTACCKYTGGCTCACCAGGTAAAGACTAATATGGATGCCGATGTTTGAGTCATATAATAAAGAGATTAACAGGCATCTTGTGTATAGAAGTATCTAGGTGTATATCAAGGTGTAAATTATATGTATCATGGAAAAAAGCGCGCACTTTAAAAGGTTGTAAATTTGATGTAAATATGATGTAAGTGTCCAACGTATGATGTAAGTGTACATCAAATTTACATCATTTTAGACACTTACATCATATTCACATCAAATTTGTAACCTTTAAAGGGCGCCATTTCAGTTTCAGTGTATACAGGTGTGAGTAACGAGGTGTGCGTGATAAAGAATTGCACCACATATGTCCATTAGATAATTATAGGGGTGTCCATTGCATAGAATTTTCTATCACTACTATGCAGATTATATAAACRTTGATATCTGATAAATAGGCTGACAAGGTTGTACAGATGTATGAGACAATGTTAACTCGTCACACGACCATGATTGTGGGACCGACAGGCGGAGGAAAGACTGTTGTTATCAATACTCTTGCRCAGGCGCAAACCCGGTAAGTTACCTCGAAACAAGGTAGGATTACAAAGAATCTACCTGTTGATCAGACCTCATTGTGATGCTTTTCTACTCATTGTAGGAGAAATTATGTCTTCGAGAGGAAGAAATAGTATATTTTCTTTATGTTTTTTTTTTAAGGCTTGGAATGCAAACGAAGCTTTACGTGATGAATGCTAAAGCCTGTACAGTMATAGAGCTGTATGGAACACTTGATCCTGTAACACGTGACTGGACGGATGGACTTCTTTCATGTATATTTCGTGAAATCAACAAACCCACCGAGAAGAACGAACGCAAGTACATAGTATTCGATGGAGATGTGGACGCGCTTTGGGTGGAGAACATGAACTCTGTCATGGATGACAATAAACTGTTGACACTTGCTAACGGAGAACGAATTCGACTTCAAAAACACTGCGCGCTGTTGTTTGAGGTCAGTAGTAAGAATATTTGTTGAATAGTATAAAACTCTTATTTAATGTGTTTAAAGTGCAGGTTAATGTATGGAAATCCATCATTTCTTGCTGGATTCTTTATTGTCAATCTTCTTCGCATTGTATCCAATCTTTAGTCTGTCTCATAACGAGTATATATGTATGTGTAGGTAGCTGATCTAAGGTACGCGTCCCCTGCTACAGTATCTCGGTGTGGTATGGTCTATGTTGACCCTAAGAACCTTGGSTAYACRCCATTCTGGACAAGATGGTGCGGTACTCGAGGGAACGAGAAAGAACGAGAAGAATTGAACAGATTGTTTGAGAAGTACGTACCCCCWTCTATCGATCTTATCCTTGAAGGAATGCTAGATGGCAAACAGGTCAAGAAACTCAAGACTATTATACCACTGACCAACCTAAATATGGTAAGGCGGCTCAGCTGTACCAAGGGTTTCTATTAGGTTTGGTTTAATGAAGTTTACTTGTTATTAATGCTCGCTTTCATTGAACTGTGAAGGTGGAACAACTAGCTCACATGTTGGACTCCTTGTTACCTGCTGCAGAAAGCTCTACTTTCCTGGGTCCTGATATCACCGAGGCAATATTTATTACTTCATTGATATGGTCTTGTGGTGCTGGGCTTCTGGAGGAGGGACGAATAGTTTACGATCAACTTGTTAAAAGGCTAGCGTCCATGCCTCAGAACCCTGCTGAAGGCTCGACTGTAGGACCAGGTAACTACTGATGCCTTGGTTGGTAAAACAATCCTCAAACTCACTTAACCCCTCATACACCTTGAGCACCATAACCCCTCATACACCTTGAGCAGTGCCTTTTGCTCCATACATAAAATTGTGTAGTATACATAACGTTATAAACAACACGTTATAAACTACAGCTATAAAAGGTTACATCACTCTGCTTGTTTTCAGGTGAGCTTCCTAGTGCTCAACCGTCCTTGTACGAATACTTCTTTGATGGTAAACTATTGAAATGGGTTCCGTGGATAGACGTGGTACCAGAGTACATCCATAACCCCGAGTTGAAGTACAATGAGATCTTGGTTCCTACAGTAGACACTATACGTACTCGATGGCTGCTTGAATTGATGGTTAAAATACACAGACCTGTTGTATTAGTAGGAGAAACTGGTACATCGAAAACAGCTACTACAGCAAACTTCCTAAAGCAACTCGATTCAGATACAACGGTAAGGAACTAAGAAATCTATCAGTTATTGGTGTATTTTGATTGATTGATTAAATTATTGATCGATTGATTGATTAATTGATTGATTGATTAATTGATTGATCGATTGAATGATTGTTTGACTAGTTTAGGAGTGTATTTATAATTGTTCACCACCTCTCTTTCCTTTGTACAGCTACTGTTAAACATCAACTTCTCTTCTCGTACGACGTCGATGGATGTGCAGCGTAACCTGGAGGCTAATGTAGAAAAGCGTACCAAAGACACGTACGGTCCCCCTATGGGTAAAAGACTGTTAGTATTTATGGACGATATGAATATGCCACAGGTATACCACTTTTACTTCTCAATTAAAGACGAACCTCCATCAATATTGACCCATAAAAATCAACACAATTTTAGTACAGTTTGTCCAAWAACATTAGTAACTTACTAAGGATTTTTCCTTATCGATAGGTCGATGAATACGGTACTCAACAGCCCATTGCTTTACTCAAGCTCTTACTAGAGAAGGGTGGTATGTACGATCGTGGTAAAGAACTTATATGGAAAAACGTACGAGATATTGGCTTTGTAGCCGCCATGGGAAAGGTATGAGGCCTTATTTGGTATATTGTTGTCGTTGGTGATGGTGATGATATTGTACTTACTGCAGGAGAAGTATGCGGGATTATTTCGTTTACATTTGTTGTTGTTGTTGTTGTTGTTGTTGTTTATGTTGCTTAGTATGTTGTAGTTAATGTGGGAAGTTATTATTTGGTATGGAGTTGTTGTAGTTGATAAGGTCGATGATGTACGTCATGGTATATTGATTTTATTTTTTAGCCTGGCGGAGGCCGTAACGAGGTGGATCCTCGATTTATCTCGTTGTTCAGCGTCTTCAACATTACATTCCCGKCGGAAGATTCACTCAAGAGAATCTATTCATCGATTCTGTCTGGTCATGTTCAAGCTTTTCCCAAAGAAATCAAAGAATTGGTGGATAAGACGACGTCTTCCACCCTGGAACTGTATCAGAACATTATACGAGATTTACCACCTACGCCRTCTAAGTTCCATTATATATTTAACCTACGTGATTTATCCCGGGTATACCAGGGGCTTTGTCAAACTACCCCAGATAGGTTTGACACTCCGGCTAAGTTCGTCAGAGTTTGGAGAAATGAATGTATGAGRGTATTCTGTGATCGTCTGACTACTGAAGCTGATACTGAAACTGTCATGGTAAGCATGATAGTCCTCGTATGTTGTTCTGAAACACAGCGCTGTAGATTAGACTTGTTGATGCTTTTGTTTTGATAAAACAACGACTACCGCCAAGCGCTAATGTTTTTGTTCATGCATGTATATAGATATAATCCTTGATCTGATTAGCGGTGAATTTATGTTCAAATTATAGACAATATTATGCGTTTTACTATGTTTGTATACAGGGRTATATCAGTAGTTTGGTTGACAAGAACTTTAGTGAACACACTGAGGTGATCATGCGTGAGCCATGTTTGTTTGGGGACTACCGTAACACATTGACTGAAGATGTTCGTCTTTATGAAGACATTGTAGACTACGAAGCATCGAAAGCCATCTTTGAAGAGGTGTGTTGCTAAAACACTTGTAAACAATCACAGGGCAACATAGAAACAAAATAGACAAACCAATAGATAAATTATAGAAAACACACCATAAAAAAAACACACAAGCAGTCAAGCAATGTATCACCAACAAACAAAGCACCACACAGATCATCAAAAYTGGGTTAATTGCACACAAGTAGAGGCTCCTATATGCCGTTAACGCGGGTTGAAGTTGAAAGATTTCAAAAAGTGAAACCGGGGGGGTTGTGCCGGGGTTTTGTAATGATGTTCTTKCATGTTAGTCGCGCGCATGTATTCGAAGCACTCTTGATGCAGACTCCAAGTTTAAAACATCATAAAAGCCAGTCAATATTGCGCGCGAACTCCGAAACGAAAGCAAAATCATAAAACCTTTATTGTGTTTTTTATTTTTGTGCCTAGATTCTAGAGGAATACAACATGGATCATGCTGCTATGAATCTTGTATTGTTTGACGACGCCATCGAACATTTAACGCGTATTCATCGTGTAATCCGTATGGACCAAGGTCACGCCCTTCTTGTAGGGGTAGGGGGTAGTGGTAAACAAAGTCTTACCAAACTGGCAGCGTTTGCGGCAGGGTGTGGCGTGTTTGAAATCACTCTTACACGTGGCTACGATGAGAGTAGTTTCCGTGAAGACCTGAAGGGCTTGTATCAACAACTTGGAGCCGAGAATAAAAAGATGGTGTTCTTGTTTACCGATGCACACGTCGCTCAAGAAGGTTTCTTGGAGTTGATAAATAACATGTTAACCTCAGGAATGGTTCCAGCTTTGTTTCCTGATGATGAGAAGGAGGCTATTATTGGACAGGTAAAAACCTTGTTGAGATAATGGCTATTATTGGACAGGTAAAAACCTTGTTGAGATAATGGCTATTATTGGACAGGTAAAAACCTTGTTGAGATAATGGCTATTATTGGACAGGTAAAAACCTTGTTGAGATAATGGCTATTATTGGACAGGTAAAAACCTTGTTGAGATAATGGCTATTATTGGACAGGTAAAAACCTTGTTGAGATAATGGCTATTATTGGACAGGTAAAAACCTTGTTGAGATAATGGCTATTATTGGACAGGTAAAAACCTTGTTGAGATAATGGCTATTATTGGACAGGTAAAAACCTTGTTGAGATAATGGCTATTATTGGACAGGTAAAAACCTTGTTGAGATAATGGCTATTATTGGACAGGTAAAAACCTTGTTGAGATAATGGCTATTATTGGACAGGTAAAAACCTTGTTGAGATAATGGGAGGGAAATGTTGTGACTTTGGAAGTGTGAAAGATGTTTCAGTTTTTACTGGATCAGCGTTGCGAATTCTTCTCTGCTTACCTTCGGTGTCCCAGAGGTTTCGCTGTAGCTTTGTAGTAAATGACAACAGAATTCCCAATGATTCTATATTGTACCTAACTAGTAAGCTTTAGGTTTTNGATGTCTTATAGTTTATGATGGTTTTCGATACGTTTTTAGGTATCAGAGAAACTAAAACTTGGAGCCAAAACAGCGATTGATATCGATAAGCTTCGTGATGGCTACAGACCTGCAGCSAAACTAGGAGCTGTATTGTTCTTTGTGTTGTCAGAGATGTCAGTCGTTAACTCGATGTACCAGTACTCTTTGAATTCGTACCTTGAAGTATTTGGCTTGTCTTTGAGGAAGAGTTTACCAGACACCATTCTACCCAAGAGGCTTAAAAACATCATGGATACTTTGACAGTGAACGTGTACAACTATGCATGTACAGGTAAAYACATCAAGGACGAATAGATTTGGGAATGAATGMKAGGGAAGAGAATGAACAAAAATCAAGTAAAAATGGCATAGTTTKCGGGAGTCTAATAAAAGAATCTAATATGATTTGCTAAMAGTTTAAGTTTTGCGTTCTTGTAAGTGCTTACCAGAGGAGTGCCTTACAATATTCYARTTGTTTAGTTAATATGTTTTTTTWCAGGTTTATTTGAACGAGATAAGTTGCTGTTTTCCTTTCAAATGACAATYAAGATAATGGAAGCCGATGGCAACCTGAAACAAGAAGAACTTGACTTCTTCCTCAAAGGCAACATAGCTCTAGAAAAGAGTGCTCGTCAAAAGCCCTTCCCATGGATACCAGATCAAGGCTGGGAGGACATCATTCGTCTTTGTACAGTCGCACCAGACGTGTTTGCATCATTGGCTGATGACATTGAACGCAATGAGTCTGTCTGGAAAGAGGTCAGAACGGTTACTGGTGCTTTGTTGTTGTTGGTGGTGATTTTGGTATTGGTGTTTATGATGGTGTTGTTGTTGGTGGTGTTGGTGTTGTAGTTGTTGGTGCTGTTTCTTCTGTTTATTTGATATTTGAACAGTCATTCTAAGTTTTTGTTATTTTTAAAAGAATACCGTAAGCGCTGTTTGTACTTTGTTTATATATGYACAAGTTGTTTACTTGCTGTCTTGAGATAGAATAAGTATTTTTGTATTTTTGATAAACTTTCTGATGCAATTTTTTCTGTTTTTTTTTTTCAGTGGAATGACCAAGATGCACCAGAGGCTCATCCTTTCCCCCTCAAATACGAGGAAAGTCTATCAGACTTCCAGCGACTTCTACTCTTACGATGTTTCCGTGTTGATCGTGTTTACCTTGCCATTACTAACTTTGTAACRGGWCGAATGGGAGAGAAATATGTCACTCCACCAGTCATCAGTTTTGAGGCGATATTTGAACAATCAACACCTTATTCKCCGATCATTTTCATTCTCAGCCCTGGTTCTGATCCAGCTAGTGATCTACTAAAGCTTGCAGAGCGATCAGGSTTTGGTGCGAATAAGTTGAAATTCTTAGCYATGGGTCAGGGACAAGAAAAGGTATGTATTATGTAATCGGTTGATTTTAAAGATATCTCCATGGTTAAAATCTGCTTGTTGTGAACGAAMATTTCACTGAAAACGTACTGGTSAAACGATTTGTATTCATTTACATATACCTTCTCTAGCTTGCTCTACAACTTCTTGAGACTGCAATTGCACGTGGTCAGTGGTTGATGCTACAAAACTGTCATTTGTTGGTCAAATGGTTGCGGGATCTGGAAAAGAATCTYGAACGGATTTCTAAACCTCACCCTGATTTCCGGTTATGGCTGACTACAGATCCAACCCCTGAATTCCCCATTGGTATTCTACAACGATCGTTTAAGGTACGTTTCTAATTATGCCTTTTAAATAGTTTTTCAATGAAATGATTAATTCATGCCAAAAAAATGTTTGGAGCCATGATTTTTAGCATCTACGGGTTTGTTTGTCAAGCGTCTTATTTCATTAGTTCTCTTGTTTTAATGTTTTTTTGTGTTCCAGGTCGTAACAGAGCCACCTAATGGACTCAAACTAAACCTTCGTAGTACCTACCACAAGATATCCAATCAGATGTTAGCAGAATGTACCCATGATGCTTTTCCRCCGTTAGTGTATGTTCTTGCGTTCTTCCATGCTGTTGTACAAGAAAGACGAAAATACGGCAAATCAGGCTGGAACATCGCCTATGATTTTAACGAATCTGATTTCCGTGTTTGTATGACTCTCTTGAACACCTATCTTACCAAGGCTACGACTAACGTTGATGTCAAGATACCTTGGGCAAGCTTAAAGTATCTTATAGGAGAGGTATGTCTAATGATCCATAATGTTAATAGTTGGAATAATGAGTATCACTAATGTCTTGTTATTAACCAGGTCATGTATGGAGGTCGTGTTATCGATGATTTTGACCGTCGTGTAGTCAAGACCTACATGAATGAGTACATGGGGGATTTTATCTTCGATACCTTCCAACCATTCCACTTTTACAAGAACGAGGAGGTTGACTACTGTATTCCAAAGGGGGAAGGGGGTAAGATAGAAGCTAACAGAGATGTTTATGCGGATGCTATTGAAGCGCTGCCATTGGCTAATACTCCTGATGTTTTTGGGCTGCATCCTAACGCAGAGATTGGATATTACACTAACAGTGCAAAGGTATGTTTTGTGCGGTGGAGGGTGAATAGCGCTATCCATCGATTAAACCAGTCATTATCCACTGGATAAAATCCATGTAAAATAACTTTAACCGGTGGATAACATTATCCGTATCTTACAAACGGACCCTGAAGTTATAGTCATTCGGAAGGTTACCAGATTAAAGAACATGTACAGATTTTAGTTCCTAAAGATAGTCACAAAAACCAAATTTGTCTTATTCTTACACAGGACATGTGGCTTAAACTGGTTGAGTTACAGCCACAAACTGCAGGCGATGCTGGTGGTATCAGTCGAGAGGAGTTTATTGCTAAGATTGCTAGTGACATACAGACGAAACTACCGCCATTGTTTGATGTTGACAGAATACGAAAGAACATTGGTGATATTACACCAACAACTGTTGTCTTATTGCAAGAACTTGATCGATTCAATGTTCTTATTAAGAAAATGTCCACTTCTTTGATCAACTTGCAAAGGGTAAGGATACACTAGAATTTGCTGCACGAAGGTTAGGATAGATAGGAATGGAATTGAATGGAACTGAATGGAAGGGAAGTGATACACTGCGCAACTCAACATCACAACCCCTTACATGGCAATTAAATGAGATAAAAGACAGAAATCACCCAGTACCATATGTAAAGGGTTTATTTTTCACTTTCAGGCGTTGGCAGGTGAGGTTGGTATGAGTAACGAGCTCGATGAAGTGTCGAGATGTTTGTTTAACGGTCAGATACCAACTTCATGGCGTAAGTTAGCACCAGCAACCTTAAAGTCACTTGGGAACTGGATGGAGCACTTCATGAAACGACTTGACCAATATACTCGATGGGTAAGTCACTGTAGATACGATTATGAAAAAGAAAATTAGAAAAGACAGCAAAGGTATTTTATGACCTCAAGAGGAATATGTAGAGACTTATTGACGTCACAATGATTCAATATTTAGGTGAACGACGGTGAGCCGGCAGTAATCTGGTTATCAGGACTTCATATTCCCGAGTCATACCTTACTGCTCTGGTACAAGCAACATGTCGTAAAAATGGTTGGCCGCTTGACCGATCGACTTTATATACAACCGTCACCAAGTRCACAACAGCTGATAAGGTTACTGAACGTGCTCACTCTGGCTGCTTTGTCAGCGGTCTTTATTTGGAAGGTGCTTCGTGGGACCTAGAACAGTCGTGCTTGCGTAGACCAAGACCTAAAGTCCTTGTAGAAGAACTACCCATACTGAAAGTGATCCCTATTGAAGCACATCGACTCAAGTTACAGGTATTCAGAATACAAGTTCCTTTGTTGTTACTTTCATGTCTTTTTTTTATTTCCTTCAAGAGAATGATATACAATACAAAGCGAAAATGCGCCAATGAGTCCTCAGGTCACTAACCAATCAGACGAAGAGATGAATCATCAATAGTTATAGTTCTGATGAGAGGAGGATTGACTGCTAATTGGTATTTATTTTACAGAACACGTTCAGGACTCCAGTGTATACCACATCACAAAGACGTAATGCAATGGGTGTTGGTTTAGTATTTGAGGCTGATTTAGCATCGCTGGAACATGACTCGCATTGGGTGTTGCAAGGAGTCTGTCTTACTTTGAACTCCGACTAAAAACATCAGATTCTTCAAAGAAAATTAAAAAAAAAGTAAATTAATGAGTGAAAAAAATATTAGAACAAAGTCAAGGAAGTTAAATTATTCTATAGACAGTTTGTGAAGTGGTTTTAGCCAATTTTATTTATTTTTGTATTAGATATCTTCGACTGTTTGATGTATATAAAGAATTCTTGAAATAAAACAGTTTTCACATTGATATTTTCGTGTGGTAGATCGTAGGAGGCGGATGATGCAGGGGGAAGGAAAACAAAAATTATTTGACTTGCCTTGTCACTGGGGAGAGAAATTTTGGTATCCCTGTGGACTCCTTAACTAGAGCCAGTCTCCTTTATTACTAAACGTCCAACATGGCGGTCAAAGTTGACATCAAACCGACAGACGAACTTTGGTAATTTTGACATCATTTTAGAGATTTATACTTGCTGGAACAATGAATTTGAATACATTGATGCACAACAGAAATATCTACAAAGACAATCCTCCAGATTTCAAGGATCTTGCTCTAAAATATCCATATTTTAAATCACATTCCCGCGAAAACACAAATGGACGTGTTATGATTGACTTCAAAAATCCTGAAGCTTTGAGAGCGCTATTATACGCGTTACTGGAAAATGACTTTGATATTAAGATAGAAATACCGTTAGATCGTTTGATTCCTACATTACCTTTACGACTGAACTACATACATTGGATAGAAGATCTGGTAAAATGTCTGGACGTTACTGATGTGACAGGAATCGATATAGGTAAGACTGGTGGTGCTTAGATTAGACTGTATTTATATGCAAAGTGTGACCAGGCTTGAGGGATTAGAATAGATGCATTCAAAATAGATTTAAAACAATCCTGGTTAGTTGTAAGAAAGGTGTGAATGGAGTATTATCCAGGAGTAACAATATTCCCTGTTTTGCTTTTCGGTACAACTATCGAATACCCCGCCACTAAAACCCTCTACGTGTAGCCGGCTACACAGCTACACAGTGATAGACACAGGGATACCAAAATATGTGTATAAACAACTTTTCTTATTTAATCACTGGACTATTACTCAATAATATTCTTAAACTTTTAGGAAGACTATTCAATATCTGACTGTATAGCCGCGTAGCCACTTCATAATATATTGCCTCGTTCTTAAATAAAACAGAGGGAGACCTGTATTCAATTTCTGACTCCGTAGCCTGTAGCCACTTTATAATATATTGCCTTGTTCTTTAATAAAACACAGGGAGACCGGTAGTTCATTTATGACTTGATTTTGAGCTGTAGCCATAGCCATCGTCAATATGAGGCATTTTTTTGCGGGGTATTCAATAGTTACTCCTGCTTTACTTGTTTTGCTGTTGTTGTTGTTGCTGTTGTTATTTTGCTTTTCATTAAATTGCTGTAATTTTTTTAAGATCAATTTATGAAATATCTTATTTTCCTTAAATTTATAAAAGGAGAATAACAAAGGATTTTCTTGTCTACATTTTATTTAGTAAGCTCCCAGACGACACAAGCAAATTGGAGACAGTCATGACTGTCATTAGTACCTGTTATATAATTTCATTATTAGAAATTATCACAGTATTTCTTGATTACTTTTAGGCAGTGGAGCCAGTTGTATCTACCCATTGCTTGGTTCAAAGTTAAATGGATGGAGATTTCTTGCAACTGAGGTTGACGAGTCTAGTGCACGATATGCTAAAGATAACATCAAAAGAAATGGATTAAATGATAATATCACAGGTACAATGGATGAACATGGTTACTATTTTACAGTACACATGTCAATTTAAAATACTTAATGTGCTTTGGTCAAATTTGTTGTTTAGTTCAGCTCGTTACTCCTGATATGTACCTACTGCAACCTTTACAACAAGCTAAACTCAACAAGGCAACATTCTGTATGTGCAACCCACCATTTTTCTCAAGTGAAGATGATGCCATCCTTGGAGGATCACGGACTGACAAAAGACCTGTCCCTATCTCTGTTAGTACTGGTAGTACAAATGAGACTGTCACTAAGGGGGGTGAGGTGGAATTTGTTAAAGGTATCATTGATGATAGCCTGAAGCTTCAACAAAATGTAAGGTGAGCAAGAAGCTGCTTTCTCACAGATATTTACTTTGTATTAATCTGAGTGATGGATTATAAAACAAATAAATTGTATTCAGTTTCTCATTTGTTACCAGTAGTTATTTGCCATAAACATGATATGGATGTCAACTGGTATTATTATTGATGTTGTAAAACTCTGTTTCATTAGCTGGTACTCATCAATGCTTGGCAAAAAATCAAGTATGAAAGCTGTGATGGCTTATCTAAAAGAAGTAAAAGTAAGACTACATCTAAATGAATTATTTCCTGATTAATCAGCACATCAATAAATACTATGATATTTCATTGTGTATCTAGGTTCATAATGTTGTAAGTACACAATTCTGTCAAGGTAAAACAATGCGTTGGGGCGTGGCATGGACATTTATGCCAGACATAACAGTAGAAACTGTTACGGTAAGTTCTACAAGACATATGTCTGAATGACAATACTCAATTTCCACAGTGTGTCGCATTCTTTGCTCGATGTCTTATGCCATTCGCTTCAAGCACATTTTTTCTTTCTGTGTGCTAATGTAAACATGTTTGTTTAATAGAGTCCTCCATCAAAGAGACAGAAAAAAGAGAACAAACCACTTTCGTTTATGATCCCTGAAGATAGCCCCATTTTACCCTGCCTGGAGGGCCACTGTAGGTTTGAAGATGTAGTCAAGTGGATGGATGATGTTCTGAGAGGCTTGACGGTGAGTAAATTTTGTTTGTAAATCTTGATTTTTAATGCTTTTAGGTGTGTCCATGTAACAGTGGCATGGTTCTTGTAAAGTGAGCATTATGAAGTCAGGCACTGTATAGCCTGCATAGCCAGGTGTTCCTAGCTGCTCCGAGAAAGTTTGGGCCTGAGAAACCCAGAAGGGAACGCCCTCCCTCTATTGGCACTGTATTGTGGTTCTATTATTTGCTACATTTAATGAGAGTTTGAGAGTTACACTTTTTTAACCTTTGCTTTGTTCTTCCTCCAGTTGATCCATTTGATTTGTTGGAACTCAATAAAACCATTTAAGTATTTATTGGTAGTTTGGATTCRTGAAAAGTTACTTAGCAGTTTGTTTGATGTTTAAGTAATGTTCTTGCTCTAGGTAACCATTGACGAACGTCGCCAAGAAAAGCAGGTCTGTTATTGGCAATGTTCTGCATCAGAAATTACCTGGACAAAGCAAAGGCAGAAAAGACGAAAACTAAAACATGAGAGTCAAACTATTTCCGCGAGAAATCATGATGAACAATACACTGCCTCTCAAGGCRAACAAAAACAGACTAGTGGTAAGTCACCAGATAAAAATGAATGTGATAAAAACTTGAAAGAAGAAAAAGAAACCATTGACAAGGAATTGTCTCCCGGGGATTGTGAGTCAACAAAAGACARTTCTCCACTGTGTATGTTTCAAGTCCGTGTAGAGAGTAATGATAAAATGCATGTTGACGTTCAGTGTATTSGTGCAGATAACAAAAACCATGTTTATCAGTTTTATCAATTTTTACAGAACAAATTAGTTCGGGGATTGTAACAGAGCTTTATAAAACAATTAATGGTATTAGAACCTTTTTGTAAGTTTTAGAGATGCATGTAAGGACGATGTAAACGATTTTTGTAAAAAAAAAAACAATAAAATAAAGTATGGATACATTTCATGGCCTGGTGTAAGGCGATACTGCAAAAGATCCCATGTGAAAACGGAATCATTTTAATTTAAGAACATGTTATCTCTCCTCAATTATGCCACTAATGCAAAAACGAATTATGACAGAAAACTAGCTTATCTAACACTAACATTTTATCCATCTAATCATGCAAAGCCCCAGATTATAAGGAAAACAAAGACCATTCATCGTTCTGTTCAGGAAGCATTAGAGATCTAAAGACATCTCTGTTCACGAACTTCGAAAACGTCATTAACCAATAAACTAAGGTTTTTTATTTACTATTGTAAATGTACTGTTTGACATCAGTAGAGCTACTTCCTCATACGATTATTTACTATTGTATATATTTTACTACTATTGTAGAAAATTGTGTCGTTTTTAGTCTTTCTCTATTTGTCTATAATAACTTTGACTACTAGTTTGAGAAAATTTGCTTTAATTCGATATTATAAACAGTCACTATAAACRCGTGTTACTGTTAGTCTTTTGGACTATATATTATATTTATGCATCATAGCTGCGCAAGTGCGTTGTTAGGTTTGAGGTACAGTTCTTGTACAGGTTCTGTAGATATGTTACCCGTATCTTGTTTGTAAAAGTTTAGTACACTTCTTGACTAAATATGTTGTATAGTTACTTGGACCAGAACTGTTCCAGTGTGATTTTCTTGGAGTGAGATTCATTCTTTCTACAGCTTGACTGTTTTCTTTTCCCACGGCTTGTTAATGCGTCACTTGTTGATGGCTTTTGCTCGTTCAAAGCTTCTTTGATAGCAACAGAATTTAAACACAAATCAACATGCTTGTTGAACACTTCCAAGTAATCATCGTCATTGATAGCTTGTAACTGGTTACAAACAGGGCAAACAGCCTCAAAGCAGGTTTTCTTACTTTCACCACGAGTTGAAGTACCTTCAGCTGCAGAATCCTGTTCATTCGAGAAACTTGTCTGTCTGTCTTCACTTTCCATGGATGAAGCCTCTTGAGCATCTTTCCGTAAAAAACTCGTGATTTTATCCTGTTTCGCSTCTTTCTTCTCAGAGCTTTCAAAGTTTGAAAGTCGTACTCCCATTAGTCGTAGTCTTAAAGGCTTTGATTCGCAACTTGCTATTTCTTTAGCAAGCAAATCTTTGGCTGCTTCATAAATATCCTTTTCATTGGTTACAGGAAAGGACAGCGAAACTGACCGACTTCTAACCTGAAAGTTAACAGTTTTTAACTTCAAAGTCACTGTCTTTGGCTTCAGTTTTTCGTCATTGCAGTCTTCAGCTACCATCTTACATAAGCTTTCACATTCGCTGTATAGCTCAGCTGGTTTACTAAGCTCAGTGAAAGTTCTCTCTGTACTCAAGCTTTTCCTTTCACGTGAGGACTCGAGTCTTGTGCTACCAAGACCCAGTGAAATAGCAATGAGAAAGTTTGAAGAAATACTTGAATTCAGAAGGACTAGAATGTGTCTCTGGGTAAAGAGATCATTACACGTGGCAATACCAAGGGCTTTGAGCATCTGCTCGCTTACACGGCCAATGCCACTTATTTTTCGTATAGGTAGGTCATGGATAAAGTTCATTACRGCATCTCGATCGGAGGGCAAGTAGAACTGACCATTGGGCTTGTTCTTATCACTACATATCTTAGCTAACATAGAATTACAAGCAATACCAGCACTAGCCGTTAGCTGTGTTTCCAGTTCAATTCGGAAGCGAATCTCCTGGACAATTTCTTGCACATCATTTCCGAACTCAAACTTTTCGCCTGATCCATCAGCTGTTGGGTCGCCTGTGGCTTTATAAAACGTCCTTTTACTGCTGGCTTGGTTTTGTCTCTCTTTGATGTAATCAGTCAGGTCTAAATACGCTTCATCAAGACTCATTGGCAAGAAATTGGGATCGTAATCTTTAAGGACATTTCTTATAATACCACTAGCTGTGCGGTACTTTGCAAAGTTTGCAGGGACTATGATGAGATCTGGACAAAGTTTCTTACCAATAAAACCAGGCATGGCAGCTCGGACACCAAACCTTCGGGCAACATAATTAGACGTAGATAACATTCCCGGTGACCCAACGGCCATTGGCTTATCCCGTAGGCTCAGGTCATCCCGCATCTCTACAGCGGCATAGAAAGCATCCATGTCAATGTGAACTATTGTACGACTCAAGTCACGAGTTTTTTCAAGATCTTTTACAATCCTGTCAGCTTGCAACATAGCTTCAGCTATATCATCGTCAGTAAAGGACTCCAAACGTTCAGTTTGACGGCGAATTCGTTCTTTGACTTGTTCTTCTTTTAATATTTCGTTTTCATAAAATTTTGATCCTTTGCTTGCTTCATAGATAATTTTATTGATCTTTTCTTTGTCTAATCCTTCCATCCCTGCTTTATGATCGTTCAACGACATCCTTGATGGTCCAACTACTTTCGGTTGTACAAAGCTCGATTCGTTGTTCGAGGTTCTTGATAAATCTTCAACTGTGACATTGTATTCATTTGAAGTCCTGCCTCGATCAATCTGGCTTCCCAGAAGAGATACACTTGATGAATCGTTATCTTGGTATGCTTGGATTTCATTCCAGTCGATGTCTTCGTCTTCTTCGTCTTCATTTATGTCAACACAAAACTCTTCCGCCTTATCCGCCATTTTGAAATTCACAACACAGGAAGCCCAAAATAGGTAAATAGACGACACAGGAAGCCCATATCGTAAGCTATGTAGTGTCAGTATGATACATTATGCTTGGATATTGGGATCAGGGGTGGATCGTGGATCTAGGCTTTGGTTRGGGGGTTACGATACGGAAATGCACAAGACTTTCTCCAACCCGAGAGGCAAGACGCGTTGACTCTTGCGGTGACGACACTTGGTGCGTAAGTAAAGCTGCACAAACAACTGACCCAGGAAATGGTTTTTTTTTACTGTACGTGATCTATTAATGCTAACATACAGTGGGTTTCACTTTATACAGACACGACTTCCGTAGTTATCAACTTGAATATAATTCACTGGTGATATATACGTACAGCTTTGAACATGGCTACCTCTAATCTAACTGCGGTAAATTTGACAAATCAAGCTAATTCGACACTAAATGGCAATGAATGTCACAACCTCCTTTTCAAGTATGTTGGACTTACTTTGCTTCTTCTTATCATCTACTCGACGGCTATTATCATAGGAATGATTGGAAATCTACTCATCATATACATCGTCATAAAAAAGAAATCCTTGCGAACATCCACCAATCTCTTTCTAGTGAATATGGCTGTTGGTGGTATAGGTATTGTCTGTTTTCTAATTCCTAAAAAGGTTTCTGAAGTGTTTACCGGTCAGTATGTCTGGGTGATTTCAGGTAGCGCAGGGCAAGTTCTTTGTAAGATTGTACCGTTCATCCATGATGTATTTGTAGACTGTTCAACATATAGTCTTATTTTGATTACACTTGATCGCTTAATTGTTGTTGTTTATCYACGAAAACGTTGGCTTGCCTCTAGACGGGTTGTTAATGGCCTTATCGTATGTACTTGGCTCGCTTCTATCATAATAAATGCTATTCTTATTAAGAAGTTCAATATCCTGTACCATAACAACATCATGTACTGTGCACCGTTATGGGACAGTCGTGGGCAATTCCTAAGCTACATATGTACATTCATAGTTCTTAACATAGTATTTCCTCTCATCTTCATCCCAATTGCTTATGCTAAGATATTCCGCAAGTTGAAAAAACAACTGATGATCTTAGCGGACTCCATTTCAAACCAACACAAGCTCCAAGATTCACTTCGTCAGAAGAAGATCGTTTACATGGCTTTCTGTATAGTTTGCTGTTTTTCCATTTGTTGGGCTCCCTTTGCTTTACAGTTTATTCTTCAATACACAGTATATTTGGACCATGTTACTCTTCCCTGCCCCTTTTTGCGTTTTCGGGAGGTTTCGCTTTATTTTCTTGTTTTGATTTCTGTTACAAATCCAGCCATTTGTTTCAAGTTTAACACAGCCTTTACAGAGGAACTAAAGGAAATATATCGACGTGTTTGTCCATGCAAAACCCAAGTCGCTCAAATTGAAACATTATCAACAAATATTGAACTAAACAAAGCTACAATGGAGAATAATGGTCCTCAAACGCCTGTGAATTTGAGGGATGAAAGTAAAATATGATGTAAAATAGAATTCAGCAACTACATCTCATCAAAGTATTCCCGGAAGATTTGATTTAAGGATGTTGTTCATGCCCTCTGAAATCTGAAACTTCTAATACCAGAACTCGAAACTGAGCAATTGTGACTCTCGCGCACATATCAAAATATTGACCATTTTTTGAAACATAAAAGGGAAATGAAGTGTATTATATCATAATGCGACTTGTAGTACGTTTTCTTAGCTAAAAACTTGTTGTATGTTAAACCAAGTGTCTGTGCGATTGTTAAATTCACATTATATGTAACTCAAGGGTATATCATGTAACAAATTAATGTCAAAGATGTGATCATACAATCATTAAAACCAGAGACTCCCATAACTAGGCGTATTGTCATGACTGCGCGAATTTGTTCTTTCAGCGGTTTGTAGTTTCAAACCGCGTCATGGTGTCATGGACAGTCATGGCTGAAACCACTTTAGGCACGAATAAAGACATTAAAAACAAAGGAATCCTATAAATTTCAATTAGTCACGACTGTTTGCTTTATATATTTGCCWTTTTGACTTTTTTAAAAATATTCAGCCGTACTCGACAAACGGTCACATATATGCATAGCAGCTGTCCAATAACTTAATCCCATTTCTTAATGTTGCGTTTTCTTAGAAATTTTCCCCTTCGATGATCCACATTAGTGAAATTGGTTCTCAACGAAAACTGTGTTTGAAGAGCTGTACGTTTTGTTTTGTTTGAATTCTGTAAATTGTCAATAATGTCGAGGAGACCTTGGCCCTTGCAAAAATTGCTACATTAAATTTCGTTTTTATTTGTTTTTGTATAGTTTAATTATATTCCAGAATAGTTTAATGACACGTTGTTCTATAGGGAAACAGGGATCCCATACACACTAATGTCGGTTGAACTATGTTTTCCATGATTTGTATTGATCGGCTGTGCAGAGGCTCGTCAACTATGTCGACCTTTCTCTTGCAACGTTCCATGAAATAAAGTCATGACCTTTTGGTCAAAGTGTCAATTGCTATATGTAACCCCGAACCTAATGCGCCTGCGTCCACCCAGATCGAATCAACTTTTTTTAACATTTGATAGCGTAATTCTGCCATGTTTTGTAAAATGAAGACTAAATACCACAGAAAGAAATAACACGAAAAGTAACTAGAATATAGACAACATTTCTGCAGCCAAGTCGTTTATGAAGACGGCGATAGTTGTTAATTGTGCTGAAACAAATGGAGTAAAGGTAAAAACTTTAAAACAAGCCAGTCATTCACTTTTCACTATAGGTACCTTCACCGTATAAGTCTTACTTTTTATGATGATTTCATTCATTTCTTTTAACAAGTTCTGTTTCGCTGGCGGGCGRATATTTGCTACTAAATGAGTAATTCTTATCTAAAGATATTTGTTTTGTGGATATGTTTTTGATTATAAAACTGTCATGAAATGCGACTCGTTAAATGAAATWGATATTTCAAATCTGAAGATGGAGTCACTGATCTTTTTGTGGCAGGTTCAATGAGGTCACAGCCGGTCAYTGTAATTGATAACACCTCCCTTCATTTTAAGAGATTTAAATCAAAACTCATCCAAAAGAAGCAGTATACCTTTCTTGTCTCATTAGRATTTGCTGGTGAACAATCTGTTAAAAATGTTAGGTTATGTTTATGTAGTGTTTGTTTAGTGATATCAAAGTAAATTGTGTGAATCGAACTCGAGTCAAACCCGTTCTACTCCTAGTTCCTCATTAAATATGCATCAAAATTAAATTTTCCACCAATCACAATACAGACAGTTTCGTCGAAATGGGGGCCTTTCGTCATTGCTATATTCAATATAGAATCATCTGTTTTGTCTAAATTTCCCAACTGAGACCTGTCGCAGTCTTTTTCTTCAAAAACAAAAAAAAATCTTCTGTGTTTGCGTTAAGGTGAGTGATTTTTGAATGTCTGTACCTGTAATGTTAGCTTAAAAGAGTTCTCTTCAAACAATAATGTTAGAATTGTACGGGTCATCGGAGAAACGATGAACACAAGAAACGATACAATAGTAGCCGTAATGCTAGACTAACAACTGAGAAAAGCTACTGCTATAGACACGTTTCTTGTCCAGAAGGACAATGCGTTGTTTTAGAAGTTTATTGAACGAAAAATAAGAAGCTTGATTACAAGATTCTGTTTGCTCTCAAAAGATTGTTTTTTCTAGTTATTKATACTCATTATTTTCAATATACAATAACAAAGTTTTGTATTAAAATTATAGATTAAGATTTCAAGTACTGCAATAAGCATTAGATTGAAAAGGCAAAAATCTCATGGCTGCCATTCTTTTGGCTCTACTTGGACTCGTTGCCTTAGCAACGTCAATCCCATCTCCGACACCTCCACAAAACAGTTCAGCATTTTCGGACCCACCCTTGCTACCTAATAAGCCCGCCGGTAAGTCACCTTCATCATGGCTAGAGGGAATTCTTTCAAGAATATCGTAATAAAATTATCATCACAATCATTTCACCTACATATAATTTGTAGCCTGCAAATACTCAGTATTATTTTTTATTCATTGTAGCCGATGTAGAACAGTTTCTACGAGATATGGTGAATAAGATCAATCGCTACAGATTGATGCACGCTGTATCGCCGCTAGGACTCTCACTGGACCTGACAAACAAAGCTGAACTATGGGCTGTCAAAATAGCCAACAAAGACCAGGAAGAGCTGAATTCTAATGTCACCTTTGGCCAGGCAATTTACTCTTCTGCAAATGCAGCTGATATTGTCAATGCCAGTGTTGAGTCTTGGTATAATCAAATTGTGTAAGTACATATAATAAAAGTAACAATGGTTCTTGGTGAACGTACCAATCTTTCATGTCATCTGTCGCTCTTTTCACTTGAATAGTACGTCTCGCTCACAAATCTCGGTGGTGAAAAAATGTGTTTCAGCATAAAATCATTTATAAAACTTATTAATAATGCATGAGCTATTACTCCAATAAGGGTTGTCCATTTCATCAGGTGATTGAACTTGTAAATCAGATACAACACTGTGATACAACACTAGTCTCGTCACCTTGAGACAACCCAACACTAGCAAAGGTCTCAGTTTTAGTGTCGCATCATAGACCTTCACTAGGTTTTGAAGCAATCAAAGACGGATAACAGACCTCGCTTATGCAACAGATTGGCTTGCTTTCCATGTGGGATGGATAATTATTCAAAATGTTCTGTGTTGCAGTAAATTGCGCATGCTTAATAGGGACTAAACTCAGCAGTTACCTTATTTGTCATTTTTCGTCATTTATCTCACTGTAATTCATGTTAATTTGTGTTGGAGTTTTATAAGTCGTTTACAACATTCGCGTCCGTGTTGTATGGGAATTACAATCTCTCGCCTGCGGCTCGAGATTGTAATTTCCCATACAACACGGCCGCTCATGTTGTAAACATTACATAAATCAATGTGTTTTTTCCAGACATTACAGGTATTACAACCCCGAATCACAACCTCAGAATAACTACTTCACACAGCTTGTATGGAAAGACACGACGGACATTGGCATAGGAAAAGCAACTAGTGGAAGCCAGAAGACTTATATTGTAGCTTATTTTAATCCGCCAGCGGTTCATGATATGCAATCCATGTTGGTTCAAGTACATCCCGTAACAGGTAGACTGGGTATGGGGTATTGGGTATGAGGTATGGGGTGTGGGGTGGGGTGTGGGGTATCATATGTTAAAAACTTCATCAGAAGACGAATTAAAAAAAAAGAAGGACCAATGTCCACATAAATCAACTCGAGCCTCTCAAACATCTGTCGAAAGTTGATATATCAAAGAAATTTAAGAGTGTAAAAGAGCAACGGCTTTGGYTCGTAAACAAAGAGACCCGCGCAAAATTAGATACGAGGCGGGAGAAGGGATTAGTGCTGTTTTGAGATCGAATGCAGTCTTTTTAACCATTAACGGTATTAGGTGAATCAATTGTGTGTTTGAGACATGAGGGTGAGCATCTCTAACGAATGTACTCTGATTTCAGGCAGTGGAGTTGGTAAGAACGGACCATGTGAGTACAATTTCTTACAATTTTTGTTTAGTATTGATGTAAATAATCATAGATTGCGATCTGGAATTACTTTTTRATTTCGTAAACAGCGAACTTTGAATAAGGTAATTCTGATCATTTTTGACTAAAAACTACTGAAGGAAAAACGTCAAAGTGTTTCTTCTTCCGGGATACGTCTGATCTGTTTGATCTGTCTCATGTCGATATTTTATTCACATTACTAACCGAGATGTCCATTATCAGCCACATGCACAGATGATTACCAGTTCTTTAATAACAGTTGCTGGAAACTGTTTCCTGGACCAAGGACCTGGGAGAGTGCTGTACATAAGTGTACCCAGCAGTATGCATCACTAGCGTCTGTTGACAGCGAATCTGAAAACTACTTTATAAAGACATTACTGGTATAGCTTCATACTCTGATATTTGATGTATAATGACAAGTGCTGTGATATGGCCGATATATGATATTTGATGTATAATGTCAAGTGCTGTGATATGGCCGATATATGATATATCTCATTAACATAATACATTTATCAAACTGTGTTATTTTTCCAGACAACAGCTAAACTAAACTTCACTTGGATTGGTCTGGGAGACCACGACAACGATGGTATCTATGCGTGGGTGGACGGGACCTCTCATCGATTCACTCGCTGGGATTTCATTCAGACACCAGCCAAAGGGCGTCAATGTATTGTACTGGGTTTGGATTTTGAATGGAGATATATCTCATGTGATAGAGGTCAGAGTTTTGTGTGCAAGAGAAAACTTCGAGGTAATGTAGTTATTTTAGACTATCGTGTGTTGGGTAGTGTTTGTAAATCATTGTTTTTTTTCCAGACTTGACCACCTATGAACTCGTCTTTCGTTATATGAACAAACTATGGACCGACAAACTTTACAGCCCGCAAGAACTTCGTTACCAGGCTCTGAAGTCTCACATCGAGAACGCGGTAAGTCAAACATTTGTGTTGCAGTTTAAACAACGGGCTAACTATATCAACTGCTTTTACAGATATTCGAGACCTATCGAGACGCAGATTGGTTTAATGGCCTTGATTTTAGAGGTTTCAGGTTAGTAGTTGAGCATCACATCATTGCTGGGTTTCCTGTGCCACCACCAACATTTCCACAGCCGGTACCAACAGACTTCTCCCATCCTGGCCATGCGATTTTAGTAATCATTCTCGTTTACATGTCTTGTCAGTTTGCTGTGATCGTTCAACCACTTTGCTTTGTTGTCTAATTTATCTAACAGTCCAATAAGTCCATATTA